GCATGTCCTCCTGTGTGAATGATATGTAGGGTAAACTCCTCGCCGCTTGCAGACATTGCCGACAAGTTTGATCTTCAGAAGCTTCGGGAATTGGAGTGACTTGGGTGATGAAGCTCTCCGTATTCCTTAAAGCTTCGATCAGAGCTTCCTTGGTGGTTTTGGACAACCTTAAGAGCTCATATAGCGTAATTCTGGCCGGTATGTTGGCCAACTGTGCCATAACATTGAACTGGAAGGGAGCGCTTGATTCTCCAGACTCCTGGTGGAGGTTTTTGTTGAATCGAAGCTCCTTTTGTTTTTCTTTATCAACTGGCTTTTTTGGGACAGAACCCCCAGCGTCTTGGGGTTGTTCCTCAATCTCTTGAGCGTTTTGATTGTAATCCCTCAAGTAAGCTTTTCCTGACCGAGTGCCAGGGTTGTCTCCTGGGTATGCTGCCAGGACGATCCTCTCCTCTTCTGAATCAGTAAGAGGTTTGAGGTGATCATCATTTTCAATAATGGAGGGGCTAATCATATTGGAAGACTTAGCCTTGCCTCCCTTCTTTTTGGACGAGGTATTCGTCCACTGTTGGTCTCCCACTACTTTTGAGGTAGTGAGTGGTACCAACCCCCTGTCTTTCTGACTATGCAAGTCAGCATTCTTCAAGTGCATTTCTCCCTTACGAATGAGAATAACGTCATTCACAGTTACTACTGGAGGAAAGTCACCGAATTGGACCGCTACCATATTAGTGGATACGATCTTCTGCTCGGGTTTCAAAGTGAGCACATTAGCATTTACCAAATTCTGCAAAATGTCTTTGAAGACATAGCATTTTCTGATAGGATGTCCAAGGAACCTGTGATAACGGCAATAGTTGGGGTCATCCACCTTCCCTGCTTCATCCGGCTTCCTGACTTCAGGCAACTGCAGTTTGTTGTTCTTTCGGAGCAATTGGAATAAGGTATCCACATGCTCTTCTTTAAACGAATATTGCTTGGGCGCTCTTTGTTGATTTGGCGCCTTGCCTTGCTTAGTAGGCGGTGGCACTCGCGTGTAGTCAGCTGTTAAAGTCTCCTTTCCCTTAGACCGCTGAGCGTTGTTCTGGTTGCGTTGCTGCTGCGGCTTGGGTTGCGGCTCTTCTTCAGCTTTAACTCGCGCTACTATCTCTTCAGCTTGTTCTCCTTGTGAAACTAGTTGTCTCCAGGAGCGACACTCCGCTACCCCCATCTGAGCAAGGAGTTGGGTCTGCAAGTTGTGCCTGCAAGTTTTAACCAAAGTTGATTGGTTCATACCTGAAGGACATCGCAGGGCCATGCTGCGGAATCTCTCAACATAGGTCTTGATGGACTCTCCTTTCTTTTGCTTAGTGACGAGAAGAGTCGGGACTGAGACCTCTGTGTCGTCTTCGAAGAACCTGGCCAAGAATAGTCTTTCCAGGTCTACCCATTTCTGGATAGATCCGGCAGGCAGTTTCATGAACCATTCGAAAGCGACACCCTTGAGGGTACCGATGAATAGCCTGGTCAGGATGGCGTCGTTTGCTACCACATCTCCAGTTTGGGATTTGAAGTAGTAAATGTGCTGATTCGGCGATCATGTGCCATCGAATGGTTGCAAGGTAGGGGCCTTAAACTTTGGTGGGTAGGGAGCCGTATTCCACTCAGCAGGGTAAGGCCGCACTACTCCTTCTTCACGGAGCTCGCTTCTATTGGCAATTGCGTTGAGGCGAGCCTCCAGTTCATCCACTTTAGCGGACTGGGGATGCAGCTCTTTTTCCACCTCTTTCTCATTTTCAGAAGATGAATCCAAATTGTGAGTCTCACGATCTGAATGTTCGTGCACTTTCTGCTTTCCCTTTGACATAGTTCTCCGGGAAGACTCGGGTTTTTGGCCTTTTTCAGCGAGAAGCTGAGCCAACATCTCCTTTAATTGGAGAAGTGTCTCTTGTTGCGTCTGGAGCATGACATGATGTTCGTCCACTCTTTTGGCTATGTCCTCGGGGTTTCCCGCCATGTAAGCAGAAACCTCTTGTGCTCCGACAGAGCTTGAAGATTGAGATTCGGCTATTGCCGAGTGTTCATCACTTGTTGTAATGCCTTGGGCTAACTTTTGATAGTTAACCGGGCGAATAGCTCATGTCCGCGTCCGAGTATACCGATATACTCCTTCGAATTGGTCACAAATTTCCCTAACAGTTGGGGAATGACTTCTTTGCGACCCGTCAGAATCGGAATGCGAGGCTTTTCCTCTGCTGATCATGTTGATGGTGACCTCGGGGTATTCCGCTTCAGCCGTCTTCTTTTTGTATCGGCGTTATCGTTTGGCAGGCCTAACGACATTCGTCAACCTGTCGAACACAGACTGCCGAGGCGTGGATGCACAACAATGGCATTCTGACAAGACTGCCGATATAAGCCGCTCACATTGGCATGAGTGAGCTGCTTGTACTGTTGGTTTTCCTCTCGACAATAATTCCCGCAAATCAGGAACTTGGGAGGAAACTTTCCCCGGGTGTGGAGGCGGAGATGAAACCCCCTGCCCTTGGGTGGGTGAAATTGGTTCTTGTCGAACGTGGATTTTGAAACCACGCTGGCTTTTCTGAACCTGGCGGACCTCTTGAAGATCGCGTTCTTGAAGAACAACGCTAGGGTCGCGTTCTTGAAGAATAACGCGAGGGTCGCGTTTAGTTTTGTAAACATTAGGCCAAGGTCTACGTTTAAATGATGAAACAGACCCCTGAGGGTCATGTTTTGGTTAAACGCGCCCCTGATGGTCGCGTTTAGTTGGTGGAACAGACTTCTGAGAGTCATGTTCTTTTGGAACGCGTACGTGAGAGCCGCGTTTGTCTTTGGCAGCTTCCTTCTGAGGGCTGCGTTTTGAAGTAACAACGCGCCATTCAGGGTCGTGTTTCAGCTATATCAGCCGAGGCTCGTAGTCGGGCTCATTGCCACGAAGCGAACGTTCTGTTTTGGGAACGCTAGGCTCGGGTAAAATTTCAGAAACGCTATCTTCGTGTTGGGCCAACATTCGGCTTTCACGCAGGTGTGCTCGTCGTATGGATCTGCTCCTGGCCGAAGGAGAGGGCTTTCTTCGGCGTTTCAACAACAGAGTTGATCTCCTTAGAGATCTTGCGGACATCGCGTTTAGCCTTGGAGCTAAGCGATCCCGAGGATAATGCCTCCTCGTACTTTGCTTGATCAAACTCTACGACGAGAGTTTCTACAGTCGTTCCCATGAGGTGGACGTCGGACTGCGCCACCACTTCTTCATCGGAAAAGCTAGTCCCCAGCAGAGTCGCCATCTTTTGTATGTTGGAAAAATTGCAATGAAAAGAACAAAAGAAAATTGACTTGTATTTCTTTGATTCCGATTACAATTCGATTACAAAAGAGAAGAGAACGAATTTGGTTCTCTCCTTTGTTTAAAACTGGGTTCTTCAAGGTAGCGATGGAGTGCCTCATTCGATTGTTCGCATCGAATTTGCTCTCCGTTGACGATCCGACCGTCTTTTATCTCGTGGGAACGATGAACTTCTGTAGAAAAGTTTTATGAGTAACTCTTGTACGAGTTTTAAGAACTCTGAACGAGTTAAAACTCCGTGAATAGAGTTGTTAGAACCGAAAATTCGGTTAATGACCAAGTAGATATTCTGTTGTTGAAAAATCTTTTCGGTTTTGATCTTCTGGACTTGATTCAAAAATCCTATCTCCAAGGGTTTTTGCCTCTCTCACGCCTCTCTGTGCAGTTGAGATCCTGAAGATCTAATTTGCTGCTTCTTCGTACCAAAAAACCAGCCCTTAACTCAGTTGAGTTTGTTGAGTTTTTATAGGTGGATAAGAGGTTGTAACTGCCCTCTAAATCCGCTCCTAAGTGGGTGTGATTTCCTCAGATCGTGGGGAAACAGTTCTGAAACCGTTCGACTCGTATTCGAACGAGTCAAACGCCCAATCTAGCGTTCAGAACCCAACTTCGCCTCTTATAATTGAGACGCGAGATTGGGTGTTGGCTGAACACCAATGAACGCGAGGGTCGCTCGCGTTTGGTTTGTTATAGCTTGGAGACGCTGGGGTCGGTGTTGGCTGAACACCAATGAACACGAGGGTCGCTCACGTTTGGCTTGTTATAGCTTGGAAACGCGGGGATCGCCTGCATTCTCAAAATTGTGACGCAGGGATGACTTCCGCATTTTAGAAGGGATTGGTTGATCTGTAACCTCTTCTAAGAGCGTTGCAAGGACCGTTGCTCAGTAATCCTAGCTTTAGCTGTTGTGGAATGTGAAAGTCGTCAGATTGTAACCTTCACTGTAGATTAAGAAGACTGCTGAATAGAGTTTTCATCAGTTGTCGGAAGTGTCGTTGAATTGTAACTCTTCTCGATCTATGTGAAAAGCCCTCTATTTGCAGCTTTCGCTCGACGGCACGAAAACTATTTGATTGTAGTTTCCATTGTTGGAACTTGACGGAAATCAAACATCCATAGTGACTTTTAGACGAATATTTGCCCACAGCTCTCCACCAAGCGACTCACCAACTAAGTCCAACCTTTTATTTATAAAATCATTACACTGCTCATCAGCATCTCTAATAGTTGCTAATATTAGTCATGCTGTTGTCGTAGCCATCAAGATCAATCATCTCAGAAATAAGGCCGTGATTGTAGCGGTTGCAGAGTTACAGATACAGCAATTAAAAAGTCGTCTGATCGTAACTTCCATCTTCGGGGCTTGATGAGGATCAGCTATCTATTGTGATTTTTAGACAGCCTAAGGGGGGGTGGTTCACTTTGATCTTCACTATCCAAAGCCACAGTTGCTCAAGACATCAGCAATCACGAATAGGAAGTGATATTTACAACATTAGCCAAAAAAAACTCTTAGCATCACATCAATGCTGATACCCCGGTTCAGCAGAAGGGAGCAAAATTAATCCCAATCATATAATACTAGTGTTAGTGTGTAAACTGATATAATTCCATACAGAATGCCACCGTAAATATTGCCCACTATTTTGTCAGCGCCGATCTTCTAAAAAAGTGTATATTGCAAGTATCTTACTGTACACCAGACAGATTATTGTTTCACTGTGTACAGTAGCTTCATCCCTACGGGAAAACAAATCAAAATCCGAAGGTATATATATATTCCACAGTTCAACCAGATATAAAGAATATGCAGTTTATAGCTCGTCAAAATAAATGACGAAACAACATGGGAAAAAAATGAATTCAGGAATATGCTCAGAAGTTCGAGTTGGTGGACCGAGAGGACCGGCTGCTTGGATTAGAATTATCCCTTTTCCAAATGGCTTCTAGGTTTTGGAAACATCTCAAGGGTCTTACCTGGTGAAGGACCAAAATAGCACAAATACGAAGCATCAACTATCCTTTCTTGGTAACAAGTGTTAGGATTTAGGTAAATTCAGGGGAATCATATTCATAGAAAAACTACAAGAAAATCTACAAAAATAAAATTATCAAATAAAGTGAGTGGGAAGACAGTTAGTGAGCATCCAAAGCCTGAAACCCTGTCTGATCTCAAGTATTGACTCAACCACATAGTTAGATACTGTTTTTGGAATACATTATCTGTAACTCTATTTACTCAGCATGCATTGTGAGAAAAAGGAAAGGTGAAGCCCCATGGATGAGACTACCTCCATTTGGATTGACCCTGGAGTGCTATACAGTCATGTATCCCCACAGCCATTTTTACATACCATGCCAGGACTCAAACCTAATGTAGAAAACAGAAGCTAATCTTCTTCAGTTTGACTATGAATAGTCCACATTCAAAATCAGTGATGCCTTATGACTGTTGAAAAAAAATTGAATACAGGAGCCAAAATAGAATCTGACACATGCCAGGAACAACTTGATCTATACAAGATACTCCTTCAATGTTTCCTAAAATATAAATGCAACCCACATGTATCATACACAGGTCATAATGTATCCCAGAACAAGTTCAAATCTATCAAATACTAACAGATTCACATTTCTATCTTCTATCTACATAGTATTGATATAATTCATCCATTTTCTTATAAAGCATGTGGCTATTTTAGTAAGTACTGATTTATATACCTTGAAAACTGTTAGAATAATATTATCTCTCGAAGTTCACCATACTCCTTGGAGCAATGAAAGAGACCTTAGAAAAGGTACCAAAGCAACCCATGTTCAAATCCCACTACGCACACATTTCAAAGAGGGGTAGTGTCAAATTTACAATTTCTGCATCCGTCAATATGTACTAGCATCATTTGGTACCTGTACTCCGTACACCTACCACGCAAATATAGCCTTACCCAAGAGCCTCCTTGGCAAGTATAAGCAGAAAATATTCTACTATTTTGTTATTAACAATTACTGCAGTATTATTATTCCCATACCTATTATAGAATTATTCCCTGCTTGCAGAAGATGGTTTTATCATCAATGTGCTTATATACACCTGACCTTTAAATGTTTAGCTGTCCGGAAAGTTGATACACACATACAAAATAAGAAAATAACATGGGGGCAAACACACACTAAGGAAATGTTGAATCAAAAGAGCCTTTGGGTAGTTTATAAACTCTCCACCTTAGATAGTTGATATTATACAGCCTGCTAGCACCCCAGACAACAAATTGCCTGCAGGTTGCAGAAAAATAGAAGCTTCAAATTATCTTTGTTCACAAAAGCCAGATAGCATATATGATAGAATTATGTATCCAGTTTTATAAATAATAGAAATATCATATAACAGTGTGCAACATGTAGTAGAGATTTTGAGAGAAACACACCTTCCAACGTCTCTTATGAGCAATATGGTTCTGAATATAAGTCAACCGATCAATTATTTCTCTGAATGTAGGTCTGTCAGCAGGGTTCTCACTCCAACATTGCTCAATCAACCTGTATAGTATGGTTTCTAAGTGATGTGAATCTCTTGAATGCAATATGTGAAACACTTCAAGATACTCAGAATATAATGACATCTCACAGGAACTTCATTATGACATCAAATCAGGATATTCTTTACACTTGAAATACCAAAACAATCCAATGATGACAAACAAACTGCAATACAGGCCCTTATGGAACATACAAAGAAAGGAACGCAGTTCAGTTCAAGTAATGAACATAGCTAAATAAGTGAATATTTCTCAGAAAATGATAAGATATCGGAAAGGAATATACATAAACAAGACAAGGAGATGATTTTGAAAAAAGAAGCAATAAAGATTATTTTATTACAATAAAAGGAACTTAAGCAATAAATTCTGATCTGATACATTTAGATAAAGTAAAATGAATTCAGTAGAATATTTGATAATCTAGTAGCTCTAAATTAGAAAATAATGAATGGAATAATTAAAACAAAGTGGCAGGTCAAAAATAGAGAATGAAGTGAACGAGAACTTGCAGTAAGCTAAAATAAAAGAATATGAAAGCTACTCTAATACATACTCTTTAAGTCCATGCGAATAGAACTTGAGTGGAGCTCTAAAGGGTGGCCTCTCTTTAGAGGCAAATGCTTTTGGAACATCACTGTCAAGTTTAGTGGAAAAGGGAGGGCAGCCTTCAATCATCTGAATATATTAAAAAAAACAAAATTAAATATCCAGACTTAGTTGCGAGATATACTCCATCAAAAGAATAGCCAACTGTAGAAATTTCAAGGATTTAATTTAGTAAACTTTAACCTCACAAATTGAGCACCTTACAAATTATTATATGTGAAAACAGCTCTTGTATATTTAAATGTTTAGTAACAGAAATACTAAGATAGGTTAAACAAGTTCTCAGTAGTACCTCCTGTAGAATCAAAGAGAACGAGAAAACATCCACCTTTGTATCATACTCTTCATTTCGAAAAACCTCTGGAGCCACATACCTGCCTGTTCACAGAACAAATATACTTGACTATTAGAAGTTGAAAGGTAACTCAGAAGCTAACATAAATGATGTGGGATAATTTACAGAATTTCATAGGGATTTTTGTATGAAGACGCATAAGAAATTCCTGAAACAATCAGAAACCTAACCTAGATAAAAGTGGGAGATCATAAATATTATAATTATACCCAAATTCATAGGGAAATGGCGATAACAACTATTTAGGTTGTTATTTGACTTTTTTTTCTTTAGAATAACAACACCAGTATCCATATGTTCTATCAAAATTATTATTCCCCTCAGCAACCAGTGTTTATCCATCAAGAACAGAGATAATACTCCCAACCCTTTCCTTTCTAGCCAACTAAACAGGGGATTACTTCAGTCCTCATTGCATGTGGACATGACATCTTTCCTCATTGCATGTGGACATGACATCTTCAACAGATCATAATTAACTGAATACCATGCATAGATAAATTTCGCTAGCAATCCATTGATTAAGTACAAAGATCCTTAACATCTGAAATGGATGTAGAGAAACCACTAGTATGTGTCTCATTCAAACATTATTTCATAAAGACAAAGCAAACTTCCAAAAGGGGTAACCAGCTCTACTCTAAAGATTTTAATAATAACAAGGCTCGAACATAGTATAGCTTAAAATTGTGTATAAAGTGAAAGATTTTATCAATATAAACTGTAGCAGGAATCTTAACAGAAAAAGCAAAAACTTTGTAGAAAAGCAGAAGGCAAGGGACTGAAAAGAGTTTTTGCATGTCAACAAGCATGGATGCAAAAGAGGTGATAATAAAACGGAGAAAAGGGGGGGGGGGGGGGGGCAGGGGGGGCGATGGATTTAGAGGTGATTGATTGTGTAATAGAAACAAGATAATGTACATGAATGAAAATTGAGCCTCCATGACACGAGAACACAAGATGTCAGGCTATACACTATCTGCTTACAACCACCATCACAAAAGTAGCACAAGCACCAAAAGCAAAACGATAAGTAAACAATTCAATTTCATTAGGAAAAAGCTTTATGCAATCAAATTTTCTGGAAATAGTCCCTCTGTAGGCGCCCTTTTTAGCTATTTTATGTCTTCTGTTTTCAAGTAAAGTGAATCTTCTCTGTTCTTTACCTCACATCACTAGTCCGAATGCCTCAAACCAAATCCTACTTTCTAGATTTTGCATAGGATTGGATGTGGTCAATCCAATGCAGCCCATTGTATCAATGTCAAGAATACCAATATCTCTTGAAACTCAATTGTCAATACCATGTTTGTAGCTGCAATTTTCCCAATAGATCATCTTCGTCAAGATCATCCTATAGGCTATAGTTGGTTAGAATCCAACAGAATGGGACGAACTTATAAATTACTAGATGAAGCTTTCCTTAACATAACCAACTAAGAACTGTATGAGAATCAAACAATCTAGAAAACTTTATCAAAGTATTTTCTAGAATTATTCCTTCTTGAATTAAAATATTATCATGAATGGGATTAAAGCTTATAGCACTATGACAAGAGCTTCAACCAAGTAGGTAAACTGGAAAAACTGTGGTCCTTAATTTTCTAAATGTGGTTTATAATTGACTACTGAAGTGTAGCATAATATCAAGGTTGCTGATAGCGGATCGCGGCGCGTCGCGGCGAGGTACCGCTAAGGCTATATCGGGCTATTGCGGCGAAATCGCGGCAAATAGCGCACAGTCAAATAGCGGTCAAATTTAAATATATTTAAATATCCTAAATAATAAGAAAATTCATAAAAAAATCTAAAAATTCAATTAGTTGTAAATTTTTTGTATTATCAATAAATAACAATTAATAAGCTTGTTGTATGAATGAAACTATGAAGAAATTCAAGAAATATAGCATCATAATATGTGTGATAGCGGGTTTAGCCGTTTTTAACAACAAAAATCCACTTATAACCGCGAAAACCCGCTTTTAACCCGCTAAAATCCGCTTTTACGCGCTATTCGAATGAATAACGGATTTTTCCGCTTAAGCCAGCCGCGAAACCCCTAGGCGTAGCGCTGAAGGGCCGCGACTGCTATTCGCGCCGCTATAGCCCCGCTATTGGCCGCTATTTACAACACTGCATAATATTTTAGTTGCTTCTCACTTCTTTCAAAGAGTTACGGCTAATGGTTTCCAACATTGCACTGAACCTCTTGTGCGCTTTACGTTGCATAGGTACTTTGATAAAACCCATGCTAGATACATGTCTAATACTTTGATACTCAAACACTTGATGGATGCTTGTCACATACTTCTAATACATATCCCAAAATTTATAGTACACCCCAAGAACATAAAAAATGTATTAAAGAAAAACCAGAAACAAAGGATTTAAAAAATTACTTCATGAATGATATGGAGAAATTTTCATTCAACTTTTAGATGCATTTTATAGAACCCATCAACTTTCTTAACTTACTAATCATCGATACGACCAGAGTTAGTGTATTGTCAGGCTTAATAGTTCAACAAAATTTTGTTACAGATATATAACAATAGTTTTCACACACAATTTACACACACAATTTATACGCCTGGATTTGAATCCTCGAGTTGATTCTAATTCTTAGTGGACAAGGGACCCTAACTTTTAATGGGTCAGTCCCTGAGGCTATTCTACGATATATATAGTGGATCAAGTAAGCGAATCTTGTAGAATCCACTGTTATAAATAGTGGTAAACAGCGGCGCAATAGTGACGCTAAGAGCGTTAGCGGCCTCTTCCGCAATGCTATCACCCAATAGTGATGACATATTAAGGAGCATGCGCTTTCCGCTCGCAAACACAGCCAATAGCACTTCATAGCAGTGAATAGCAAGTGAGTGCGGGTAAAATCCGCTTTTGGTTGCTATATAAAAAACTTTTTTTAGGTTTATTTTTTTAAATTAACCCAACAGCACCCGGAAGACCCGATGTTTTCAGTCATTATTGATCGTTGTTTTTTCTCTCCCAAGTCTCCCCCTCG